GGGAATAAACTAGCCACTAACATTCAGGAACCACCCCCTTCCTCCGCCTACACCCCCTCCCCCTTTAAAATCGTATTTCACAGTGGACAGTGGTCAGAGCTCGCACACGCACTCTGACCAATCAGAATTTTGTGGGCGACAATGCGAGTGAAATATGCGAGAAAGGACGCTGCCTTCTTAAGCCATTACACTTGCCCAATTGGAAGCAAACAAATGCGTAAGAGACATATATGTGAGACTTTTCTCTTTTAATAAAATGAAATAAAATGATATTCATTTATTTCTCACTCATCCATGACAAAATTGGTTATTTTTTTCACTTTCATCGTTGTAACCAACATAATGTCTCCCCTTCCACAAAAATGGCTGATTTTGGCAACTGTTATTCACATTTCATTCAAAATTACATATTGAATCCGCAGTCAACTGTGTTTGCTCCAGAGCAGATAAATGCAATCAAAGTTGTCTCAGCATCGTTCATTCTCTTTGCCTCCTTAATTTCCCACTCAGGTAAAAACAGCCAGCATCAATACTTCTGCCACTTTCAAATCCTCATCATTCGTCAAGCCTTTCAAGATCAGAAAAGAGTACTAAACAGCCCAAGGGGTCTTCATCGTCACTCTCTAAAAGTGGAGCTCGAGAAAGACTTGTAGACGGAAGCATTCAGAAGGTAGAAGGACTTAGAACTCCTGATTTTATTCGAGCTGCAAAATTCAACGGGTTCTGAATAGAACCTGCAATGGGTCGAAGTGAAGTCTATTCTAAAAGAAGATTTTCCTCTGAATACACCACGTGGCCTACCGTGAATCAGATTCTCACTTAAAGTCAAAAAATGCCGTGTCAGCAGTCCTCTGACATTTTTGGTAAGAAAATTACAAATATGCAATTTGGCATTGGATCTACAAAATTAATATCAATTAAAATGAGAAGTAATTAGTAAATACTGCGAAGAACTGGACCAAAAGGAAGCAAACCATGTTCTTGAAAAAAACAAGAATCACAATAAACAGGAAATTCACGAACATGAAGACTTAATAATGACTCCACTGTCCACACCTATCCATTTTCCTTCCTTTGCCATACCTGTAAGTTACAAATTTGGTGGCAGCTCTAAATTCGAGATCCAGTCTGAGATTGCATGGGTTTGAGCAACACTAACACCAGTCCTTGGTAGGCCAGTTCATTAAGGAATTCCCAATTCAATGCAATTAATGCGTCACAAATACTGAAGAATATTGGCATACTTACGATTTCGAAGTCTGGATTGTAACTCTCTTTCAGCCTCCAATTACTCTGAATTACCAATGCAGCAAAGAGCAGCCATTCTTCGTACAGTCCCATGGCTAGTGTTCTTGTGATCCACAAAGTACTCTTTCTCGTTTTGGATCACCATGTCGTCCACTTTCAGTTGGAGATCATTGTCTCGTGGTTGTTCCTTCAGAAATTGCACAATTAATTCCTTCATCAGCTCAGATGTCTCTTGCAGATTTCATGTCTTCCCCA